CACAATTCCGTACATTACTATGTAAATTCCTTTTATATTAGTGTTTTGGACTTAATAAACGCCAAATGTGACTTTACTGGATATCTGATTATTGACGTTACCTGTGTAAAGCTTACTGTACATCCAACTTAGACTATGGAAACCAAAGGACATGTTATATTGACATATATATAAGTCAGACGTTATATGTATATGATGCATTTAGACGTTGAAAACATAAACATTTTATTGTCTTTGTTTAACTACTGCGTGCCGTCGTAAGCCAAAAGCACTACATTGATTTATGTCAAGCATGGAAAATACGTAACGTCGTCTTAAATGCCAACTGTCCCCATTTTACCATTTTTGGAGTATCCTTTGACATCCGTATCCGGTTGTCAAAGAGAAGTACATCAAATGTCAAAACCAATGTTTGGCCAAATGTTTTAGTGAATTATTCGCATGAATTGTAACGAAATGGACAAAAATAAATAAAAGTGAGAACAATTAAGTGTTGATAAAAATGCGTTGCTGCAGCATTAAGGGGTGCGGCAGTAGAAAAAGCGGAAACCAACCGAATGTTATATTACACCGGCAAATAGTATTTTATAAATCCATACATTAGCCGAAATATCTCACGTAATTAGACTCACTTAAGTGGTTTATTCATAAGTCTTGCCAAATTTTGCTTTGGTTACTTTAGATTGCCTGTTTGTTAGTATATTTCGATGATTGTTGATAACGATTATTTTGAGATAGTGTTGTTCTTGTAAGCAGACATATTATCGATATTCTGTTATTGAAACAATTCACTACGATGTTTTTATTACTTCATTTTTTTTTTAAAGTTTACCTACAAATGAAAAAAGAAAGAAAGAATGGTTGGAAATTATAGGACTGCCGAACATAAACATTGGATCAAATACCATCTTCGTTTGTTCGCTCCATTCAAATTTAAATAGAACTTTGAATATAACTACATTACATGATAATTCAATTCCATCGTTACATTTATTGGTAAATAACTTTATATTTAATTTTGATTAAAATGGCTCATTACTTGTCTAGTAATAACAGCCTAGTATTAATCATACTTTGATTACAGTAAACTACACAAATTTGCAAACATAAAACACAGTAACAACAGTTTCAACATTCAAGCTATACATTTGCATGTCGATATTGACTAGGATTATGGTACAACACTAAATCCGCCATTTGTGGTGGACTTTTTTGGTGTTGGTAGGGGCGTTTATTCCGCAGATAAGGCAGCTCCTTTTCTTTATTTGTTCCATCCTCTAAGATATCCAATAATAATCTAGAGAGATTTCTCAAAAAAAAAAAATAGGTAGATTGGCTTCTTTCCTGATTCGGGATATGTATATAACTGAATTATGACAAAAATGTTAGTCCTGCCTTTTTTCGTTCCGTGATCAGAATAGGGCTAATACAATTTTTCCCGTACTAATACGGTTAATTTTGATTAGGTCGAACGGCAGGGACACTGGCTTTAATTAAGAATTTATTTTTTTACAAACGAAATTAAAGCTATTTGAAAAATATAAATACGTATTCTATTTAGTTCAGTAGATATTAAAAAATTATATATGTAAAATGCCTATTGAAGTTTGGTTTTTTTCTATCGTGAATATTTTTAGGAATTCTGTTTGCACACCGTAAAGTAATCAGTATATATCCCCAATTTTACTATATATTCCAAAGTTATTGATTTAACACTTTCAGTGTTATGCGTAATCAGCCAAAGCCATTTGAGGTGGTATAGACTTTTAAGAGTTTATACAAATAGTTTTGGTTGTAGGTATTAATAAATAATATTTTCAAATATTTTGATATAAATGAAATTTTTTTCAAATATTTACAATATTTTTTACTGTTTATGCAGTTACTTCAAAACGTGATATGCCATATTTTCTAAACTATAAAAGATATCGAATTTATAAATATAAAGGGCGAAAAAATTCAAAATTCTGACTCCAACAGTACAAAAATGTCCGTTACCACAAAATGTACCTTATGACATTTCAAATTCGTCAATTTACTTAACTGGTAACAAAGTTGTCAACTCCTGTTTTTTAACTAAATGTTAAGGTAACTAAAGTTATCGAACGCAGGTAGAAACATTGGAGGAAAGGTCTTCTCGTTTGAAGTCCTTAAGACAAAGTCAAAAGACCAAGACCAGGTCATAAGTAAATGTTACATTCCGAGTGTATGAAAATATTCATTCGACGACCTCCGTGGTCGAGTGGGTTGCCGGTTTTCAAGGTATCGCTCCCTGGTTTGATTCCCGGCCGGATGAACGTAGAAAACTGACTTTTCTTTATTGTCTCGGGTCTAGGTTTGTAGTACCCGCGTAGTTTCCGATTTCCTCAACACAAGTGCTTTAGTTACTTACTTTGGGATCAGAACAACGTATGTAACGTATTCTTGAATATTTATTTGTTAATCATGCGCGGTAGGAGACAAAGAGGAATATCACGAACGTAGTAATTGAAAGACCGTAATCTCTGCCTACTATTTATTATAAGCGTTATATTATATATTCTATAAATAAATATTGGCGAATCCCTTGTTAGTCCTTCCTGGACATTATCAATCTTGGTCAAATAAGATTATGTATATATTTCTTTATACAACTATTCGCTCATGGTTTGTTTTTTGAAATATGAGAACTACCCTTTATCTACGTAACTTGAAACCCAATCTGTTCTTCCTGAGGGGTGAAATTCTATATATTTTTTAATCCCATTCTTTGGATTCTATGTTTTGAAGTTCAAAACGATATTGGGAACTAAAGTCTTATAGAAGATTAAGCCGTTGGATGAGAAGAAGTTTATACTGAAGATGAACGTTACTTTGACATACTTACTGTCTTTTTTTCTCAGCTATTTCATCGGCAAACATTTTCTGGTATTTTTCCATCTGCTCTCTCGCCTTCTCAGCTCTGGCGAAATGTAACTGTCTACGAGCGACATCTTGGTCTACTTTCTTCAAGGTCAAATCGTCACGAGCGCGTTCATCCTATTATAAAAAATATATATTTAGTCAGGTGGGGTAAGAGGAACATACTTTATATTGAGTCAAATATTTTGAGCTCCAGGAAGAATAGATAACAATTTTGAAATACACTAAAGTTCCCTTTGTTTTCAGCTGTACTTGTTTTAATCATTACGCAAAATTCAATACTTACGATGTATTCGTCGAAAACGTACAAAAGATGGGGCAAGAAGAATCGTATTTCTTATTAAGAATAACTGTCAAATATATCTTTTCCGCCTTTCGGATTTGGCGCATTGTAGTGACATCTCTTTAAAATCGTTTGAACTAATTTATTTTTCTATTTTATCGACTGAGAGACTATAGTGCTAAACTCTTTAGATTATGCGTTAAGGCTTCAAGTCCCTCTTCCCCTGGTGCTTTTCTTACCCTACCTAACCCTACTTAATATTATAGTCTAGAAATAGAATGTGATCTCAAACGTGAGATCATTGCGACAAGGTCTAAATCTGTCGACTTCTTTCACCTTTACAGTTTTTATCTTGACAATATTAGTTAAATAAGTACATGTCTATGTTTCCAGGGAGTTTTTCCAATGCTAAAGAGCTGTTGTAGCAATGTACCGGGGTTAAAAAATCTATTGGGACTTTAGACACTCTTTTCTATAACATTGACCAACGTGTCATATACTTTTCCAAAGTATTAAGGTATTAAACGATTAGGCAATAATAAGTTCCGTTTAAATACTGTAACTTTTAAATCATCTTTGTCGCATGCCATTGAAAATTTTCAGACGTTTTTTACCTTATTCATTGGAAGTTAGTTAAGGCGGTTTTTAAACTTTTGTCTGAAGGCATGAAGTCTTACCAGTTTCGCCATCTCAACATGAATGCGATCCATGAAACGATTGTACAAGTACTTTCTGTACTGGTTGAACTCTTTAAGAGAACAAACGGCTCTTCCATCTTTGGTGCAAAAACCGAGCATAGTCATTCGGTTCTTCGCCGGTGCTTGTCTGAAATGGGGTGCCAAATGGGGGTCATGCAATGGAACGTAGTCGTAGGAGACGTTATAGCAGTAAGGGTCTGAGAGATCAAATTGTGGCCGTGGACCGTCGAAGCCGAGGCCAACTCGGCGGACCTGTAAAGAAAAAGATTTGTGTCAAATATTTTGACACCACTACAGTATGATGTAAATAGATAGATAGACACTTTATTGCTCTTCTGCAAGAACAAAAACAATGCGCTAACAACTTAGAACTAAAGTGGGCAAAGGCGGCCTAAAAGCAATCTCCATCATACCACCTTTGAGGTAAAGGAAAGTTAAACGGAGTAGTGGAAAAGTCTTCCAGTTTGATGTCCGAAGACCAGGTCATAGGTAGATGTCACGTGCAGAGTGTATGAAAATATTCGATGACTTCCGTAATCCAGTGGCTTGCACACTGGTCAACAAAATGTCGCCATTTTTGAGGTTCCGGGTTCGATCTCTGGCCAGGTCAATGTAGAAAGACTTTACTATACTGTCTCGAGGTTGGGTGCTTGTGGTACCATCGTTGTTTCCGATTTCTATACCACAAGTGCTTAGGTACCTACTAAAGTACCTTGGGATCAGAGCAACGTATGATGTTGTCTAATACCTATATGTTGTCTAACTACGAATTTGACCTACTTACGATGCATCCGCAATATCATATTAATACACACTTGATCACCTTACCGTCCATCTCTCTACTGACAATAAGAGCGTCCGCTGAGTAAAGTGAGTACTCCCGCGTGGATCTGTTACTACAAAAATCAAACACACCTCTACGTGGCACTGGCTATCCGTTACACCCGCGATGGTGACGTGACGGGCCGAACAAGTCGTGCGCCTGGTGGTAAACGACACGCCGTTCCATATCAGTTGCAGTGCCACACAGAGCTTCTAATCCCAAAGGTATGAGGGCCACCGCCACTGCGCCCGACACCCTGAGACGTAAGTTGACCAGAGCTTCCAATCCCTATGATCTGAAGGTCACCGCCGCTGTACTCATCACCCTACGACGTAGTTGTAGCAGTAATTCTCACATTACTGTGTGACAGTACTTCCCTGGATGAATTCTTTCACTAAGAACTCTACTCTATATAGAATATTCGCTTCTATTTGCCGGTTGCTTGTATCCAATACAAGACAGATCTTATAAATAAAACGTTCATGAAAAATTACTGCGACGGGGAGACGGGTACATGCGGGGATATGACGGGTCCACGCAACTGGACCCAGCAAGGGGTTCTGCTTCACGCAGAGGTTGCCTTCAGTGTTGTGAGCGGTTTTCATGTATCGACTTAAAGGCTAAGTAGTCTTAAGTACCCACATATTATACATACTTATGTATTGAAACCAAGACAGAAAAACAACTCGTTACTATCTTTACTTTCTCAAATTTTGTAAAACGCCTGTGTAGAATAAAATATATACAAAATGTCCCAAAATGTACCTAAATCCAAGTCGGAAGGGTTATAAATCGTACGTGGCCTCTGGGTTTAGGGATAATTAATTGTATTATTATTTACTATGAGATACACCCGCTGTGAAGGTTGGTTTTGATTTGTTTGATTTATGCACAATACACAACACACGTACTAAATGAACAACGACGGCTGCTTGTCATACATTCCCGTTACGTAACGATAGTGGAAGTGAATCGTGTTGGACTAAGTTTCGGTAAAACCGTTGCAGTTGATCCAAGTTTACTGTAGTAGCAGTAGAGTTCCTTCTGAAATAGGTCATCCAGGGACCTTACATATTTCTGCCGCCAAACAGTAATGTGAATATCACTTCCGCGTTCCCGTTTTGAAGGGTAAGGATGCTTGTGAAATTACAGGCACATGAGACTTGTAAACATCGTCTTAGGGTGACTACAAGAGATATGTACAGGCGTGTCGCTGAAGTAGCATGTCTCGAAAATTATTGTCAGTAAATAATATATTAACGGAAGAAGAATCAGATGAAGCCATCTTATTGTATAAATCTCAAATCTTATGTACCTCACAATTTGGCGATTGATATTAATAGTCATCGCGAGAAATCATGTTTCCGTTGCAGAGTAATATACTCTGTAAAGGCTGGAATACGGTTCAATATTACATCAACAAATATTTCATTTCTCGCCTCGCCCATCTTCGTCAATCCAGATCATTTTCATCGAAGATGCGTTAGGATAGAATTTAAATTTTGCTATTCAAATTTCAATCCTTGTCTTGCCTCGTCTCATCTCGCCCGCCGGTGGAAAAGCACCCTACCAATAGGCGCATGACTTGTTCGTCCCGTCACATGTTATCACAAAAAAAAGTTTTGATAAAATATGTGCAAATTCGATAGCACATCTGTGCTCAGCATTTAAAAAAATTAGTCAATTTTATTCATTTTGTGTGAAAAAATATTTTATGAAATTTAACCAACTTCTGCTGTCCCGATTTTTTTCATCCTATACAATGAAATGATCCCTTCATGAACCTGAGTCAATCAGCACTAAAAAAAATTTTGATCAATTTTATTCATTTTTACGGACTAATCACGCGCAAAAAAAGATTTAATGAATCCTAAGACAGTTTCCTTGTGTCGTCTTTAGTTTCCGATTTCACCATACGGTCCTATTAAAAAAAAAAAGAAAAGTATAGTAATACCATCATAGGATAAAATATTAAATTCTGAATCCATGTAAATAACTTTTTCCGTTAAAATTTTAATTTATTTTAATTTTCGTGCCAAAAGGTACTCGATGATATAATTTACGTCTAAGGTTTCCCCAGACGAAAGTTGCGACAAATAAGCTAAATTAACTACAAAATTCCGTACACGTTCCTAACATTACCTACCTATGCTTGCTTTTACATCAAAAGAGTATTTTGTCAGGTTGCTTGTTAAATTCGGAAATCTAATTTTCAAATTTAGATTGCAGTGGCTTTGAGATTAATTATTTAATTCTGTATACGTAATTCCTTTGGCGTTAAGTTGCGTAGCTGCTAGATTACGTAAGCAGTATTATGACAATTAACTCAATAGGTAATGAATTTAGTGGGTGTCTAAATTACGATATTTTGTTTAGGCTTTATGACCATTTTTATAGAAACATACTACACAATCAACCTATTATATGTTGAAGAGCCGAGCACGAGACACTACTTTGGAAAGGGTTTAGACCACAGTCCGCCACGCTAGCTCAGCGCAAGTTAGGGATATAACACATCTTTCAAGGGTGTGTGAACCATTCGAAGCCGAAACACGTATATTTCATAACGATGTTACCCTTCACCATTACAGATATTACGACCTGAACATTCACTAATTTACGTAGCTTTAAAGTTCTAGATAAATGTCGCCAAAGGATTCCAACTGTGCCGACTGGTGCCGGCTGTTTTAATTAAGAAGCAACTCCTTTCCCACTAGGTCATCACTGTTCTTGTACGCCTAAAATATATCAGTCCGAATACCGAGTTCCTCCTTGAGGAACACCAACGGATCTGGCTTGGCAGTGTTTAGGAGTTTAAAATCTTACATTTGTAGTTCATTTATAGTTCAACTTAGAACAGATAAAAAGTACCTACTAATTAGCAAGAATATTAAGATCTTCATTTATTATTCTAATCGACTCATTACTTTTTTAAATCGCTCTCGTGACTCCTTCATCCGATTTTATTACTGTTTTCATTCGCTACATCATCTCAGATGAGCACAATTTATACAGGGTGATTATAACAAAGAGGTCCAACCATGTGGTTAGACCTTGTTGCGCTTTTGCGGGCACTGGTATCATGACATAGCAATATAATGTTACTTTGAATTTTACGTCGTCAAAAAGAAAATGTTTAAATATTCAATTTAAAGGAGTCGTCATAGGAAATGTTATGAAACTAGTGATTGCATTCAATGGGCTGACATTTGGATGTAACTTGGAGATTAATACTTTGATTAAAAGCCCATTCTGTCTTTTTTTTTAAGATATCATATGACGAAACGGACAAGTTGTGGGCCATGTGGTAAGCTACGCGCACGTTTGTAAAATTTGCAGTGCCACAAAAAGCTTTAAATCGCAAAAATCTAAGGGGCAATGTCACTGACGGCAGAAGTAAGGTGGTGGTGGCTGTACTTCCCTGGACAAACTCACATCCTAAAGCTCTAAGCGGTACTGCTACTGGTATGCATATATAGGTAGATGTTTCGTTTACCACCAGGCGCAAGACTTGTTCGTCCAGTCATTTGATAGTCTTTCTTCGTGGAATTTGCGCGAAAGTTTCCACACTCTTTGAACTCCCTGAGTACTCGCGCCGAAATCTGAAGATCATTTTATTTGTATACATTTTTCGTATTTATATCAATGATTTTAAAATTATATATTTACATAATTAAATGTATATAATTAATAACGACGTAGTCTTATATACATAAGGCGCACTATAAGTTTCCGGAATGAATACGAAAAAAATACTATAAGTGGTTAGAAATGAATTTATTGTTTTTCAAAATATTCTCCGTTAGCGTGAATGCACTTTTTCATGCCATGCGAATGAACCAATTTTGAAAACATTTATGCCACTCCTCCATGACAATCTCTGAAACATATTTTTCATACTCTTCGACATCCTCTTCAGACGATGAAAATCGTTGACCGCGTAACTGGTTCTTAAGGTGCCAGTGCAGGCCTGTACGCGAGATGGCTCATGAGATCAACGTTGGTCACCAAAAATTCATTTGTGTGTCAGGCCGTGTGAGAACTGGCATTATCGTGGTGAAAGATGATACGGCGTTTACGGTTATTTTTACGGAGTTTGTCAATAACTTCCGGCAAACAATTGATCGTGTACCAACATTGACTTACAATTATATGGACGTCGGGTCCGCGCTAAAAAGTGTCCGCACTTGTAAGGCGCTAAAATCGTATACAGAGCGCGACACTCCGCTTTAGTCTTCATTTGTTCTACGGACAGCGCGATACTGCGATGACATAACAATTTAAATTTCGAATAGGTTGACTTGGGACATTTTTTTCGTGGTTTTTGTATTAGACCCGTCGTCCATTTATTTGTAAGTCAATGTGTACCAATCACTATTTACGATACAACGATTCTCCAAAACAACAGTAGCCACATGTCCAGTTTTAT